CATACTGAAATTACTAAAAATTTCTTATTTTTCGCATAAAAAAAAGTAGATAACATCGCTAATTGTTTTCCTTATTGCCTCGTTCAATTCAGCCGAAAATCCAAACTTTCGTAGGCGGTCTCACAAAGACGCGCTCAGTACACCCTCCTCCTTCGTAAATAGCGCCTGAATTGTTATGCTGGAGCATGTGTCATTTTTATATTTCCGCTATAAAGCCGTCGCAACTGCCATTTCGGCAACAATAAAAACGCGCACTAATTTGTGTTTGTAATTGCGCTTGAAAGAACTCGATTACAATGAAAATGCAATAAAAACAAATATGGAAAAAAGGAAAAGAATTTAAGCAAATAATCGAAATAATATGTAAGTAGTTATAATAAAAGTTGAGACAATACAACCTCGAAGAAGGAGAAGTCGGCTATTTGATATTGAAACTTCACTGTCGCTGGGAGTGAGAGATGAATCAGTACATTGCTTGTTAACTGCGCAAAAATTGCAAAACATAATTCAAAATGCTTGACTACTCATTTGACAGCGCAAAGGCGGCTCATGAGAGTTGGCTAAATGATAGAGAGCTGCCTAAATGATTTTACTTTGCCTGTATATTATTTCATAGTAAATTTTTTAGTTAACGACTAGTTTTGTCTGGTCAATAGAAGCAAGCATTTGCTAACTGACAAAACCGTTTGTTTTTTGTACAGAACCCAATATGGGACAAAACTAATTCAGTCCTACGAAGTTTTAAAAAAAAAATATTCGAACTCTCGGGCAGGATTTTTCGGGTTTTTCGTAATATTTCAAAATTTTCTTTTTGATTTCTTGTTGAATCATTCGGATTTAAAATATTTTTTTTTTAACTTATTTATGTACCTAATTTATATTAATTTTAAAGCAGCTGGCAGCTCTACATATCAAGCTTGGCTTCACTAATTTTTCACGAGATAGCAACATTGTAAGGTCTGAAATTTTCGGAGACTTTGTAGAATTTTCGAAATCTTCTGACACAATTATGAATTTTTGGGACTATAAGGAAACCATTACTAGTGTCGTGGGTTCCATTTAGAAGAAAGATTTATTAAACAAAGTTAGCACATATTTTTCATAATAGCAGTCACTCCTCGGCAGGCAGTGGTAACTCTCCGTGTGTGTTCTGCATATAAAAATACAATCGCCGTTCGGAGTCGGCACAAAACTGTAGGTCCCTGCCCCAAATCAAAGAATTAAAATGCTTTATTTTTGATTTAGGACATGTGGCAACTCTTAGAAATATAATTAGATTGAAATTTTCCTGTAAACTTTTTTTTGGAAGTATTTTGTAAGATTTTGAACCCACTATTTCACTACCATTCATAAAACGGATGGCAACTCTATTAAAATACACATGTACATACATATATGTGTATTATAAAATAAGTGCGATTCCTGTTTTTAGTTGTTTTATTATTTTAAACCAGGTGGCAACTCCATAAATTCATATTTGAATCAAATTTTGCTGCGAAATTAGGATAGATGGCAACCATTCCAAAACATAGTTCTGGTTAATTTTTTTATAATATTGTGAGATTTTTTTGATTTATCTGCTAAATTAGTTTTAATTTTAAGACGGTGGCAGCTCGGTTAAAACATAAAAATTTTTAATACAATTTTTTTTTTTTTGATATGTTGTAGGATAAACAATATCCTTTTTCTATAATTTTAAGACAGGTTACAGCTCTAAAAAATCATATTTGTGTCGAATTTTATACAAAAATTGTAGTTGGTAACTATGTACATATGTATGTATGTATGTATGTTGTAAAATTTACAATGTCATTAATTAATTTTATTTTAAAGACGGGTGGAAACCTAACTTCTTTCTTTTAGTTCCGAGACCGGCTGCGATAAAATTTCCGTAAAAGCTCTCAATTGTTAATCCTTTTTAGTTTTTAAATCAGTTTAGAACAGATGGTAACCCTACGGTGCTATTGAAGCAATATGTTATTCAATTCTTGGTCGAAGTATTTTCAAATACATACATATGTATGCCTCCGATACCACATTTTGCAAGCTGTGAGCAAATGAAACGGAAGGCGCTCTTGCAAATGAATTTATGCAGCCCTCTAATAAATAAAAATACATTATAAAATGTATATGCGTAATATATAAAAAGAGTGCATGTGTATGTATGTATCCTTGCGAATGTATTTTAGTCAAAGGGGCAGCTGTCTGTACAAAGCAAAAATATTTAAGTAACTTACTCTGTGAACTTTGTAGATTCAAGCTGTTTAATATTTTTTCTGATGAGAGCTACGCGTGGTATGCGGGTAAGTGAATTTTGTTATGTTTTTGCAAAAGAAAGCGGCTATGTTTATTTATTTGTATTTGATTTGTGTTTTTCTTTCTTTCAAATCGTTCAATCTAGCGCACAGATTTGTCTACATTTGAGCGCCAGCAGTTATCATAAGCGATATAAATTAGGGATATGTCACTTTAAAAGCATATTTATAAATGTACGAAAAGTGTACTTTCGAAAGGTTCAAATGCGCTTGAGACAACGAACTATTTGCTTAGGTTGGCTGCAAAAGAGTGTATTGCACTTTGGGGCATTGAAATTAGATACAAGCGTATGAGTTAAGTGGTTTTTTTTTTGGCAAAATCTCTAATACAAATAAAGTATTTTTCTACTACTTATTCACTGCTGCCTTGTATGTATGTCTGTATGTAGTATATGCTAGTCACACATGGCGTATGAGTTACATTTAAGCTTGGCGCTCCGCCGTACGATAATTTATTTTCCCACTCATGCGAAGTGCGCCTAAAAGTGCGCTTAAAAAGCAATTAAATGAGATTAGTGAAAGTTCAGTAACAATTTTGCGCGTAATAAATTGCAATTCATTGCATACTTTGCGGCTGCACTGGCATGTATGGATGTAGCTCTGCAGCGCATTAGATATCCATATTTACCGCATCCTTGCAGCGATCTTGGCTTATCCCAATTCAGCTTACCAACCACATTGACGTTTTCTGCTTTATTTGCTCCAAAAATACCCTTCTATACCATAAATCCACCTAACAGCCATTTAACTTAATTAGTCGAACGAAACGCGCTGACTTTTGTTACGCTTTTGCTTACGAAACGAAAATCTAAAAATTCTATGAATTTATTTGACGTTCGCATAAATGCGGTTTAGCGCTTTTAGACAATTTTTAGCGCACATTTTTCTATCTTTTTTTTCACTGAAGTGTATGCACCGTTTTGGCATACGAATAACCAGCGCTACCCACACACACACACGCAAATCGAAGTGAAAAATATTTCTAACCACATACATAAAGTGAAATTTTGAAATTGTTATGTGTGAATGTTGCACAGCAATTTTTCCACTTCACATTCATTGTTGGCTTTTGGGGGGGACTTGGCGCTGTCAGACCAGCCTCAATGTGGCCGACTTGTGGCAAGGCAAGCTCTTGTTGTCATTGCTAGTAGTGCTCCAGCTACTGGGCTTGCTGCTTTTGGCAAGTGATTTGGGGTGACGGTCGTGTAAAGTTCAATTCACAGCGCCACGCCATATTTCCGTTTCCTGATTTTCTTAAGCGTATCCCAGAGCTCAGAGGGCACATTTCCGTACAAGCACACAAATTTGTATGCAACTCTACTTACGAAAATATACACAGATGCATAGATATACATTCATATGTATATGTGGGTTTATGTGTATGTATATGTAGGTGTAAGTACATTAGGATGTATATCCTTCCATCTAAAACAAACGTCGATATATTTTTTTCATCGGCATTATAAAATCCATAACATTTCAAGACTTCCTCCTAAATATTCCGGAAAAATTTGGATTTATGTGAGCTGCACCGATTTTGGAATACCTCCAAAAATGATAATTTTTCATCTTAAATAAAATTAGTTTTATAAAATATATTTTCCAAAAAAATCACCCCAACGGAATAAAAATAATGAGATTTTTTGAGATATTACGAAATCGGTCCAGCTACCGGTAAAAACCAGCAACTTTTTTTTTTGGTGAGGCACACTAATGTACATACATACATATGTATGTATATTCGTACATACATATGTATTAACTCATGTATGACATTAAAATTCTAAGTGCTTGCTGCTTAGTAGTAAAAGAATGCATTTCAAGTTAGGTCTGAGTGCCTTTTTGTCGCCTAATTTATGAATTCCGCTTCAAATGCTAACAAATGTGCGTTAAAATGCTAAAAATGAAGAGTTAATGGTGATGCCTCTCATTCCACTCAAAAAAAATTTTCGGTTATGTTTGGCCAGATTGGCTTTCTACTTGATGACATTGCATGCTTTCAGTTTAAAGAGTGTATTTTAAATGATTAAATTTATGAATTAAGCTCATAGAATACATTTTCCGAATGTGATTAAATTTCCGCAGTGGACCTAGAATTCGATCAAGTGTGCAAAAATTTTATAAGGGACAATCCGCGTCAACCGGATTCTAATCGCGCAACTTCTGCAGAGAGAGGTTATTTGCCATCGGCGTAGCATCATTGCAGTTGCATAGTGTGTTCTAATAACACCGGTAAAATATATCTATTACTACACTTATGCTGAGTTTCATAAGGCTTTCATTTTTGTCCTTTTCCAGTTCAACCGCGGCAATAATGAACTTAAGGCCTCATATTTATCGGGCTAAACATCGATTATGGAGTCTTCGTTACTTTTTCCTGAACGTGTTGCTAGTTAATAGGCGTTTTAGAGCCCTACTTAATCCTCTCGGTGGCATTCCCATGACAATCGGGTCTGCATAACCGGAGCGACCTAAATTTATATCTGGTCAAAAACTTTAACTACAAAACATTCCCCAAAACCTCTTTAGGGAATTTGTACTCTGTTACAACAATAACAACAATCTCATTTTACCCGATTTTACTACATTCCATCCTTGAATTAAGGAAAAACTTCTTAAATTGAATAAATTTTTCGTAATATTAAGGAAAAAACAGTAACTCTAAAATAAGCATACTGTTTTCTTGTTTTAAGGAAATGCTTTTTTTTAAATGTGGTTGTGTCTGTTAACCTGCCGATATATGTAATTGTTTGTATGTATTTTCTTGAATTATTTGTCATAGTTTTGTTAAATATTCCTGCAGTTTTTCATGTTTGTAGTTTATTCCATATAGCCATTCTTGTGAATCGTTTGTATACATAAATATGTATGTGCATATGTACATATTTAACACTCTATAAAATATTCCATAAATCAGCGGAAACTCATAAAAATTTTGCCTTATAATGAGCAGATATGTGTGTTAGTAAGGTATCCATACGAAATTTCAATGTCATTGGGACTTATAGTTCCGAAGTTATAGCTGATTTTTTCCGTAAAGATGTTACCACAGCAATTAAAATATACCTAAACCCCATATTTCTCTGGAATCAAGCCGCAATCTATCTACATATGTGAAAAATTTCAATCATCCAGTACTTTTATTCTACATACATACAAACTTTCACATTTATAAAATTAATAGGAATAGAATTTCCCTACCACCGGCAAACAATTAAAAAATTTAATTTAAGCTCTTAGCTAATTTTTTTTTTTTGGTAATACATATTTGTTGGCCGCAGCAGTCGTTCAAAAGCTTATACATTTGTACTTCTTCAAGCAAAACTTTCGTAGGCAAAACTTTTTTGCGACTGGCTGTTGTCTTGGCTACCTAAAGCTCAATAGCTTTCCTTGATTATACCCACCCAGTAGGAAATCGCTTAAACATATGTATGCTTGTATGTTTTTAAGTAATAATGAAAATCGTATACGCTTGCTCATATGTGTGTCTCAGCGTTGGATGGAAGAATATTATAAAAAAAAATCGACATTCCCTTTATTCGAGGAAAAACAGCTCAGAATATTTAACAATGTCATCTTGTAAGATGATAACTATTCAACAAATAACAACTAAAATTGCATATTTTTAATAAATACCATTTTTTTTTTAATTAGCATTAGATCATGACAGAGTACAAAATTTATTTCGTTCTAGGCTTCCCGTCACCACATACCTACAGTCATGTGAAAAATAATAGGGACACGATTTTTTGGCCAGTTTTGGCTATTTTTGTTGGTTTAATGTTAATTTTTTTTTTTTTTGACACAAATTAAAATCTAACAAAAACATATAAATCCAAATTTCAAACTTTGTAGGAAAATTAGAAAAATTCCACAAAATTTTTCAACAAAAACTAACTTTTTATTCAGAACTTTTGGATTAAGAATTCTAACTTCTAGTTCCAAGTGGCTGAAAATTCGCGTTTATTTTTGATAATCTTTTTTGCAGATTATAATTATTTTCTTCCATACAAAAAAAATGTCGAGCATACATTGCCGTGTCCCTATTATTTTTCGCATGACTATATATGTCTAAGGATTTTTAATGAAAAAATCCAGCTTGCTAAATACTTAAACATGTATGTATGTTTTGCATATCTCCATGCAGAATTTCACAAATCGCAACTACTTTGTACTATTTCAAATCACACGCATTCCGGAGAATTATGTACATCGGTCTGGTTTAATGAACCCTGCATAGCAACTTCAATATTTTATCAAAAAATGTTCAATCATTCAAATACAAACCATACACATTTATGTGTTTCGTGCAAGAAAATTTACAAAATTACTTTAAAAAACATCACTGATTATTTCTAAGATATCTATTTTTATTTTCAATACAATTTCAATCGTTATTTTGTACAGCGTACCGAGCTTGAAATTAAAAATTAGGAAGCTAAATTTGTTTGCATAAATTGTACTTTTCTTAACCGGTTCGATTTGGTATTTTCCAGATATTTTCCAGTGCAAACTGTTTGCTTTTCTATTATAAAATCCGTACCTGGTAGTTTTGGTTGTAGGATTTCAAATTCATATAAACTATTTTATGTAGAAGCCCATACTTATCTATGTATGTACGCAATAACTATCAACATTCATCACCAGTTATCTGATAGAAATCTAGCAGTCACCAATGTAAAGTAGAGTGCTTACTAGCTTGTGGCACGTTCTCAAACCAGGACAATTTCGCACATGAAGCACGAAATGTCAAAACAAAAATTATGTTATGTACACTCGCCGATAGCACGCAGGTGTTTGAAGACAATTCTAATAAAAAGTTAATTGAAAAATCTGGCTTTATACATATATAAATATACATTCATACATTCACAAATATAAATTTTGCATGCAAAGGCAATTAGATTCGAGTATCTTTTTTTTCCACAAACTAAAAAATTTCGCAATAGACATAATTTATACATTTGTATGTATACTCTACATTAGTCACGTATGCAAATAAGATCGTTTGCGGAAAAATCGCGCTGTGTACAAGTGATGGGCAAATTGTATTTACTAAATACTGAGTACTAAGTTCAAAGGTGTTTTAGGTATATGCGTTGTAGTAAATAAATAATAAAGTACTAAATATTTTAGATGTCACTTAATGCCGAGTATGATGGTATTAATATTTAATTTAAGTGAGCTAAACAATTTAGGTAAATATAATTACTTATTTTTACAGGGCAAAATACTGGGTATAAAAGTATTTAGTTACTTTTACCTAACGAAATAACGTGTGCACAAGTAGCGAGTATTTTTGGCCTCAATAAATACTTTGTGCAAAAAGAATCCTAAGAAGTTCCGAAAACCCTTTAAATCTCGAAATAGTTCCGAAAATCCCTGAACTATACCGTAAAAAAACATCCGAAAGATACAAAAAAAAAACCACCTAAAAATAAAAAAATCCGGAAAAACCCAAAGTTAAAAATTTTTTGGAACTCCCGAAATAGTCTCAAAAATACCATAATCCCGAAAAAATAGAATTAGGAACCATTCCTTGGAATTCAAAAAACCCGAAAAAAATACCCAGAACGTTAAAAACAAATCTCGAAATGTAAAAGACGAAAAATACTGAGAAATCCCAAAAAGTCAGAGAAAATATTTAGCGTATTCTGAAAATCCCAAAAATTAAGAAATATTTCTTATACATATTTTTAAACCTCGTAATAGTCCCCAAACACCCGGGGTGGTTACGAAAATCGCGAATTATCCCGTTATTCCGCAAAATCCCTAAAACAATATAAATCAGTATAATACCCATGATTAAAATATCTCGCAAAATTTAGAAAAAGTTTTGAATAGTACCAATAATTTCCGAAAATTAGGAAATATTTCATTGTATTTTCAAATCTCAAAATAGTCCCAAAACTCGCGAAAATCCCGGAACTATCCCATGAAACCTAACAATTCCCGAAAGATCTCGAAAAATAGAAATACGAAATGTTTTTGAAAAGCCTGAAAAAAAAAATAAAATAAAAATTAATTCACCAAAAATCCCGTAAAATTAGCTAAAGTTCGGATATAATCTTATATAAAAATCCCAAAATATCCCGAAAAAAAAGGAAAATATTCCCAAAAATCCTGAAAAAATAAATAAATCCAGGAAAATACCCGAAATTAAAAAAATACGAAAAACCTTAAGAGAAAATTCCGTAAAAATTCTGAGGAAATCTTGAAAAGTTTAAAAAGTGGTCTGGAAAATCCCGGATTTATTCCGTATATCACAAAAACCACGGAAAACTCCCGAATTATCCCGAAAAATTAGAAAAAGGTAGTATTCCTAAAAGTGCTGAAAAAATTAAAGAAATCCTAAAAAATAATCAAATTAAAAAAAAATGCGGAAAGTAAAACACGAAAACTCCGAAAAAATGGGAGAAAAGTTGAAGCTGAAAAGTTCTGAGAAATCCCGAAAATTAAGAAGTATTTCATTATGGTTCTGAAATTTCGTTAATATGCCTAAAAATCCCGTAGTAGTCTAAAAAATTCTGCAACCATTCCGCTAATCCGAAAAATCCCGAAACAATTCATAAAGATCCCGAAAAATAGAAAAACAACATGTGCCTAAAAAATCCTGAGAAAATACAAAACATCCGGAGAAAAACAAAGAAATCCAAAAAAAGTGGAAAAGTAAAATATGAAAACTACCAAGAAATGCCGAAAAATACTTAAGAATTCGAAGAAAATTAAAAGTATTTCAATGCTTAAAATAAAAATGCATAAATGGCTGATTATTCTTTTTTTCCTTCAGATATCTTAGTACTTTAGCATTTAGTATGTACGTGTGAATATCGCGCACGCATGAAATCTCCGCACGGACGTGTTTATACTAATTTTTTCTCGTTGCCATTTCTGTGTAACAACTACACTTCCCTGTCACACAAAGCATTGACAGTTTTGGCGCATGTGCTGTTAGTAAAACCGAAAATGGTAACCTTGTCAATAAAATAAATATGTAAAAAATCTAAGAAAATAGCCACCTGCAATGAGTAAACACAAAAGTACAACAAACATAAAATAAAACAGCAAAATTTAACTGATAGCATTGAAACGGCAAAGCAATGAAATAAATGTCTGTAATGCCATTAATAACGCAGTACATACTATAGACCAGTACTTATATTGTACCTACGAAGGTGCTCGCAGCGTAAATGACATTTTCACAGTGATTCGACAAATTGTAGCAAACAAATAAGTAAAAAAAAAACAACAATAACAAAAAACTAATCACTTTACTGTGCATATTTACTTGAAGTCACTCTTGACTACTTACTGTACCGAAAAAAAAGGTAGCGGAAAATTAAACACAGATTTTGTGCGTCTTTAAGCTAGAAGCTTGCTTGCTCTACACATGTCCGCATCTAAGTAACATTCATAAATAATTACGACATTTAATTGTTATTAGTTTTTCAGTTTTTTTTTTGAGTTATTCGTAGACGACCTCGGTCGTTGCGGGTGTGCTTCAACATCAAACCATTCATAACTTTTATGTAGCTGTTTTTCGTAAAATTAATCCAGTTGTAAAGTATCTAAGTGCTTAATTTTTTCATTAATTTTCAATGATGGCATAAAGCAATTGAGCGCAGCCGGAGGTCTAGTAAATAATCATTGTAAATATTTTATAGCATTTATTATGGTCACGAAAATGCGCATTGTTTTAAGTGTGAAATTACGCGAGCTTTAATTGCCAAGATTTGCACCATAAGTGTTGTCATTGAATTTTCCAGTTTTAAGATTATGTTCTTGGGGTAAAAAAAAAAAACTTAAAGCATTAAGTGTACAATTGGACATAAAGTGATTAAACAATCAAGCGTTGAAACTAAAATGGTTATTGCATTCTACCTGTAGGCTTGCGTGTAGGACTGTATGCAGTTTAAAATTTGCATGGAAGCATTCCACGGATGTAGTATGGGCGCCAGGTCGCCGGAATATACATACATATTAATGGAAACTGCACGACGGATGAACTGGCAAGAAAGTGAATCTTATTTCCAGCGATCAGATCCTGTAAACTCTGAGTGGGTAATGTTTGCATCGAACAGGCGTTTAAGGTAGCACGACACATCTGGCCTAAAAAAGCTAAAGGAAGATCTATTCCTCTTTTCCGACTGAAGAGAGGCTTGAATATTATCTATGTCCCTGTCTCGCACAAGCGAAGGCCCCCGACGTTCGTTCCATCATCCCTACTTTCTTGAGTGTAAAAATAAAAAAAGAGACTTTCTTGCGAAATAACAATGAGCCCGTGGAGGCCTAGATGTGTCTACTTCCGACGCTGAATAAGTGCATCTGAGATGGCGTATGTATCTACCTTAGGGTGCCCATCGAAAATTTTTTTTTGGAATTTTCAAGACCTTACCCTCTAATATCCTCCCTTTTTAAGAGAAACATTAATGCCTATTTTTATAGATTTTTCAAAAATTATTTAGAGGTCGGGACTTTCATTTTAGGTCAGAAAGTACGGTTTTGTGAAGGGTAGGGAAGGGAAGGGAAGGGTTCGGTGCATTGCCTAAACGAGGATCTGGTTGTTCGCTGGGTTTGTAACCCGCCACGTAAATGATATGTAAATGAATTTATCGGATGACGACCACGGCTAAGGTCTTAAGAAACCATGATATGAAGAGGAAGATTTTTGTTCCCACCGACAGAAAATGTGCCATACAATATGAAACATCTGATACGGTTTAAGACTGATCGATTTCCCGTATCCCGAGGTCAGAAAACCTTCAACCGAAGGCTCGCTTCTGGCGCCGACGTACGTACATATGCTCCGAGGGCCAAACTTCAACTCGGACCTCTATATGATGCAGACATGAAATGCACTCGCCACTGCACAGCAAGAAATCTTCGTCCAGAAACACAAAGGCAGCTGCAAGTCAAGAAGCTACAATCACAATAGGCATCCAGTACCTTCGCTACACGTTTCTACGGAACTAATATGTTCGGCTGTGCAAAATGGCGTTGCGTACCACCAACTCCATTTGTAATAGAGAAGGACCTCGCTGATCCGTTCTATACTAAGTGAGGTTACAGACACGAAGACTCCGTTAATCCGTTTGTTGTGCTTTTTTTATGCGGCAACTGCTGGTGGTGGCAGCGGAGGAGATAAGCATCCAATGCAATGACAAGACAAGCTGGAGCATAGCTTGGCGTCACGACTGGCGTGCTATGTTGAAATTGGTCTAAATCGCTTAGGCGGTTACAGCGCCAAACAAGAAAAAGAAAACGTAGGCCTATCGTTCTCGTAGCCTCATATAACTATCTATATAAATTTACATACTAACATACATATATTAGTCACATCTTTTGTTGTTTGTTTTCAATTTTAGGTTGCTGAACTGTGACCTCGGCTTGTACGTATATTTTGCACGTCGAAGTATGCAAATGTGGCTAATATCCAATGACACTACCAAAAATGACAATTGTAATACCTTTTAAGTTGAGCTAAATGCTTTTTTTGCAAACTGGATAATTAAATTTTCAGACATGGCCAAATAAAATAATCAAAAGCAATATGGTTTAATATTTCCCCTGTGTCTAAAAAAAATTAATTTACTAGATAAATATACTCGTTAACACTATGAACTATTTTTGGTTGTATATATTAGTTCATGTCGTTATGTATATGCATTAGGGCGGGTTGATTTTTTTTTTTTTAAATCGTATAGCAAAAACTACATAAAATTCTAAGAAAATTCTCCGAAGAAACCATGTATCTAAAATAAAATCCTAATCCGCGCCTCTCGACTTTAAAATTTGTATGGCCGCCTTTGCCAAAAAAATAAATGTCGAAAAATAGGTTTTTCCAAAAAGAAATCGAATTTTCTGAATAAAATTGTTTAGTAAGGTAGCTTTTGCACTTTATATTTTTTCTACACTCAAAATTTTTTTCCTTAAAAAAAATATTCACCCAAGTAAAAGAGTTTATATATAATTTTATATTTAATATTTTTGTAAGGAACATAGATAAACAAAAAAATACTTTCATAATTTTTTTTTTATATATTTTTACTATTTTTTTTTAATTATTCTTTGTTTTATGCAAAACGAAGTTTAGGTGAAACGTGTTCTAACTATTTTTTATATAGAACGCAAATCAGAGGAGATGCAAATTGGGGTTCAACTGCTTTTTTGATAATAGAATATTTTGATTAGTCTCAAAACAAAACCTATATTGCATAAACTATAATATAATATAATAAAACATAATATATTTCAAAAAAAGAAAATAATTTTAGCGAAAGAAGAGGAAAAAAATTTTCAAGTCGAGAGGCGCGCATTAGGGTTTGATTTTAGACCCATGGTTTCTTCAGAGAATTTTCTTAGAATTTAACGTTTTTGCTATACGATTTTTAATTTTTTTTTTTCATCCATACAAATCAACCCGCCCTAATATGCATATGTAACTGTGATTTTGTCTTCCAAATTAAAAAGAACTAGCTCGCGCCATATGTACCTACTTGTACATCGACGAACAGGTCTTGGGGAGGTCAGTACATACGTTTATGTTTACTATATATAGAATGGAAGAAAACACTGATTGAACGAACGTTTTATTAACCAATTAGTTAATAGTAAAAATTTCATAAAAGGCTTACTTCCTCTTAAATTTCGTTCAAAAAACAGCTTACCTGTAAAGTGAAACACAAATTTTAAAAACAGAGTTAAATTCAATCAAAGAACAATATCTGCACCTTGAACTGTCCGCTTCATGACGCTGCAAATGTGTGTACAAAAAAAAATCAATTTTTAACGAAAATAGTAGAGGAAAACATGAAGCGATTTTCCAAACAAAGCGACCATTTACAATGGCATACCATTGTTTTGAAATTATTTAAATGTAGCTCTACCACTCTGCCTTTGTGCAAGTGTTTCTATGTGTGTATGTACGAATATGTACATATATTGAGACATGCATTCGGGCCAGGCCGCTTACATATATCCGAAATACACATGCTGCCCATATGGTCAAAAGGTCAACAAGCTGCATTCGTAAACCTCAAGTAATTTTACGAACAGATGCAACACAAGACTCTTCAACACTTCCAACTGCAAACAAGTTTTCTTAAGTGATTGTGGGACAATCAAATACAGCTCGTCTGCACTTCTGCACGAGCACACACACCAATATAAAATAGGTACATAATGCTATTATTTCTTTTATAAGTGTACATTACAGTAGCAACCCTGCAAAAAATTGGACTAATCCGGGATGACTCCGGGAGCAATCGCAAAGGATCATGCGACTAATACCACTTTTGACCTCTTTATATGGAATGAACAGATCGCTTTTGTTCGAGCATGTCCTATGAAGAGACTAATTGTTCCCCTTTATACCCGAACGGGTATAAAAAGCGACTAGTCACTTTTAAAAAATAAAAATAAAAATCTGCGCCAGCTGAGATTCGAACCGGGGTGCTCAGTTTTGTCAGGCGAATACTCTCTCTGTGTGCCAACGCCGCACATGAAATTTCATTGACTAAGTGCGTACATATCATTAAATCGTTAATAGTACCCGCGATTTTCAGGATCTTCGGTATTCCTGGAACTATTTAGGGATTTCAAAGGCTATTTTGGGAATTTCGATGCTGTCTCGGATTTTTCAAGATTCGTAATTTTTGGGACTACATATATCGAGATTTTCGAGACTATCTCTGAATTCTCGGGACCTTTATCGTGATTTTCAGGACAGTTGAGGGATTTTCAAGACTATTTTTTAATTTTCGGGATTTTTTATAACTATTACTGTATTTTCGGGACTATTTCGTGATTTTCGGGACTAATTCGTGATTTCCGGGATTCTCGGGATCAGTAAGGCTGTTTTCACCAATTACCTGGCGATGAGCCCTCCTGGTATTGTGTGTATAAGACTGAAAACCTTCATGAATCAACTGATTGGACCTTATCAGTGTGGCTCTAGGCCTGAAAAGTCCGCCATTAACCAGATTTTTAGAGCACATCAAATCCTGGAAAAGACATTGAATGAGCAAATCGACACAGACTAACTTTCAATAAATTCTAAAGCCGCTGCTTATTGTACGAGGAGAAGCTGCCACTACGAAGCCAGGTATAAAATTGGAATACGCCGATGTAGAGCGACATTGAGCACAAGTTATACTAAAAATCTACCGATTTATACTTTTCATTGGTCATCTGTCCATTGAGGTCACTATGATCAAGCTACACAACAGTCAGCTGTTACCTGGCTGTCTCGCTAAGTTTTACAGAATCTGAGGTACTATCTTTAACATAGCTTTCTCAAATTGCCCTCCCTCTTTAACATTTCCGCTTTCAAAGGCGATAGTCCATTCTCGTGGCTGTTATCCCACCTTGCGTTTTGTAGCCGGCCTGTCGTTTTTCGCATAGCGCTGCCTTTTTTAACTCGCCTCTAGCATGCTTCTTTCTCTATGCCGCCTGAGTACGTCCGATTTTATGTAGTATAGTGTGTACCATCGATCTGCGTGCTCTGATCTTACCGTCTCATTTGCTAGCGCTAATGGATCGCCCTTTGTGGGATCAACAAGGGCTCCCAAGTACTGGATTATGACCGCGTCCCCTTTGTACTGCAATCTAGTTTTCCTCCATTCTTTATTTGACACCTTCCCTCCCTTTCTCGCCGAGCTCATGGACACCATGCTGCTCTTCTTACTATCGTCTTATTCTCCTCCTCCTCCTCCTTCTCTTCTCCACCTCTGCGTAATGAGGTAGACATAGTGATCAAAAAATGTTTTGAGGAAATGTATCGTCCACCGCACTAGCTCCCCTTTCCGCGGTAAGGCCGCCCTTGCTCCCAAAGGAGGCTTGGTGCTTCGTAAGCAACTAGGCTATTTAGGGCGTACCTTGTTCAAAACCCCATGAAATTTACCCCGCAATCTTGATCAAAGATCATTTCCGTATGTCAAGGCTATTGAGGAACTCAAGCACACATCATTGATCCCTGATCTTAGAGGGATACCGTCCATAAATCGCAAAGGCTTGCTCTGTAGTACCAACGAAGAGGGTTCTGTCGAAGGGTTTTTGTCAACCCGAACCTAACTTAATCTTGATAATACCTCTTCATTTTAAAATCAACAGCCAATTGCATATTTTTAAGGTCAATTATGTTTCTATGACAAAATGTTATCGAAATCGGTGGTCATCGATTACGGCGTAAGAATTTGGTGGGTTTTTGAAATCATCATTAAAATCTGTTTACATAAATATAGTTTTACTGCATGGAGGGCATATCTTCTGCCACGACATCATCAATGTATGCACTTACCTAAGTCGTAAAGAAAACAATCAGCATAAAACACAATTGTTGGCCAACAACACTGCAACAGCTTTTGCCCGAAAAATTTCCAAGCTAAAATGGTAAGATTGAACAAACAAAAAACGCTGATACAAACTATTGCCATAATAGTTGAGAGTGTGGGCTACACATCTACCCAAACGATGTTGCATGCAGCTGTACAGCATCTGCTGCATCGCTGTCTACATGGTTAGGTCGAACGACGCTTACCGAGCTCCAGCGTACAAGCTTTCCATGCATGGTTTGGTAGTTGGTAAGCACAGCTTTGACTGCACAGACGCCACTACAAGGCAATAGCCCCCAAACAAGCGATTGTAGTCAGTCACTTAAGCGCAACAAGCAGTACGTAAGTTTTTCAGCTGCAACCTAAATGCTTGCCGATCGATCAGTTGCTTACAAGACAGCCGTGCGCGCGGATCAAGACAAGAAATTAAACCCGGAAAAAAATCGAATTCGATGAATTTTGCTAACCTGTGGTGCTTAGATGAGAATCAATTAAATTTTGGGAGAGTGTGTGGGGGCGCCTAGTTTTTATTTAGGGAGTTTTGTAAATTGGCGGAAATTTATCTTTTTTCTAATCTTTATTTTAAATAGAAAGAATTATTTGAACTTTACATTAATTGGACTTTCAAGAAGCATTTGATTCGCGACAAACCAAACACACAAAATCATTGAAAAAAATCTAAATAAATAAACTGCAGCCTAAGCCACAGAGAAATGCCACAGAGAGAAATTGTGCTGTGTTGAAAACCAAACACAAAACTAAGTTCCATTTTTGTGAGAGTGTATTTTTGTTTTGTTATTCATACATACCTACAAACATACACACATAAAAGTGCTCAATTTATATTCTTATCACGCTTTAGTACTTAGCCTTTCAGTGCATTCCGCTTTAATCGCCTAAAACAAAAAAATTGACTCAGTGCCATCGCTTATCAGTAATAAATAAAAGTTTTCAATAGTTTTATATTGAGCTATTTTAAATACTATATACTACAAATGGACGCACTAGCCAAAGCCTATAATATGTCTCCCCCATTTAATGAAGTGAACATTTATACGTTGGTGCGAATGGCGTTCGTTTGGCAGCTACTTTCGTTCGCTGTCTATTTGGTGGGCCTATTGGCCATTGCGACATTCTTCTTGGATAATTTCAAATCGGTTTTGTCGATAGTGAAAACAATTTTAGAGCCATATTTCCAGCCGCAAGTGCCGCAAACTTTGGTGGAAAAATTCGGAAAATGGGCAGGTTAGTGGATGTTGTGTATTTATTTGATTTAAAAATGTAGTGAAATAAAAAATATGTAAAAAATATGCAACTGATATAAGCGCCGATAAACTAGCACTTACATATGTATATATAAGCTGAAAACTATTGTATCGAAATGATGTGTAAAAGAAATTTCAGGTCATCCTTTTAAAGTAGGTATTTACATACATACATATGTATGTATACTAGGCTGGTCCAAAAATGCATGTGGGAAAAAGGGAAAAGCCGGAATTTTAATGCTCTCACCTCCTAGGATAGTTCTATGCCAAAACAAAATATACACCGGTTTTTTTTATTTTGAAATCAAAAAATATTACATATATACATTTGTTTTATATGGCAAAAAATTTATTTTCGTATAAATTTCAAATAATTCTTTAAAAATAATTTTTTGGATTGGAAAACTCTGTTTCTCTTCACGAGATTTCCAATAATTATACCGAATTGTTTATTTAGTCATTTTTTAATATTAGCTATCTTTTATAGGTCTCCCAAAACCACCAAAAATGCAAAAAGATTGATTTTCAAGAATTATGTACCATTTTGAGCGACTTCTAAATATTTTTTGATTTCAATATAAAAATCAGGGATATTTTTTCTCTCGGTGTAGAACAATCCTAGGAGGTGAGAGCATTAAAATACCGACTTTCAGTTTTTTTTTACAACCCTAATGTGCACTAAACTGTTTCAGAAGATTTCGGCCTTTTAAATTTTTCGTTATATCTTCGGCATTTACAATCGGATCGTTAAGAACTGTATATCGACGGTCTTATCGCGAGGAGACAATTTGTTTTTTTTTTACAAAGTTCATTGGAACCAAGTACCTCGTTCTAGTGTTTACTCACTAGATCTTATCGCACTAACGTATCACCCTAATGTCATTAAATTAAAGCTCATCAAAAATTATTAAACCTTTATTATTTCTATTATTCCAAATGGCGAATGTAGATATGTATGTAAGCATGTGTCAACGAAAAGTGCAAAGTACGTTCGGTAAAATAAAAAAAAAAATATTAGAAATTACTTTGCAAAAATATTTTACAAGCGAAGGTTTACGCGAACTTTTTTTTTTACTGATTAATTCTTATGTACCGACAAACATATACCGCTCGTTTGATGGAAGAATCTACATATAAATATAATCTATACATATACTAGAATTCTAAAAGGCCGATGTCTGTTCAATATAGATATTACAGACTAAATAGTGTGAAGGTTCAACAATTTTTAGAATCACGCATAAACTAATTTATGAAATTGAATGCAATTTCCACCGATGTATTGCTAGAGGTCTAACTTAAAATATCGAAAAAATAAAACTAGAGAGTTGCCACCGGTTTGAAAAATTTGAGGTTGAGTAAATTAATAAGATGAAGTAAATATTGCAATATGGCTGTCAAAACAGGGATGTTTAAGAAGGGCTACAGACGAAAATATTTTTGCAGAAGGATGCCACTTGTTTTAAAAATTTAATTTTAATTAATTGATAAATTAAATTAAATTTTGCAATCCAACTAAAAAGCTTTAGGAAAGTTTACTGCCGAAAATATTTTTGAGGAGGGTTGCCACCTGTAGGGTCTTTATTAAATTAATACACGCCACATATTATAAGAATATAAATTAAGTTTCCAGGAGAAAGTCGGTAATTTACCTTCTAACTACCTTCGAAAATATATTCTAACAACCACGAAACGAAAATTTGTTTGCAAATATCTCTTCATAAAGCTTTTTAAATCTATTTTTTTGGGAGGTGTGGGGGGGGGGGGGGGGGGNGGGGGGGGGGGGGGGGGGGGGGGGGAGTAACAACACAAAAACTCTTTTAGAGCTCAGTGGAGCACACCTGGATATCAAGATAGGCAGCACGAAATCTTGATCAAAGAAAATAAACAAGTATTTTTTTTCTTCTGTGGCAGTCAGGCAGCTCGCAAAACTTTACATGCACACATAGACAATTTTAACAGGCCTACTTACATCTCTGATCGATATAGCCCAGGTTTATTAGAATCAAATGAATGTATGTCCTTGGACGCCTCGATATTAAGAGGACTCTTAGAAGTGGCGAAAGAATCGGGTAGGTACATATCTACATACAGTATTGGACATATCTATAGCACCCCCCTTTCAAAGCGATATTGTTTGCCACTTATGTTTAATTATTTATTTTTAAGAATTTTCAATTAAAATACAGTTCATTCTCTAACAAAACCCATATAAACCAATGTTTTAAACTTTTTAAAAGACCGCAAAAAAGTGCAACAAACTTTCCCTTAAATTTCAAACTTTTTTCTCAGAAGCTCTAGAATTTTACACACAGTACACAGTTTTATAGCGCATTCAATTTTGTCCAATAATGTGGAAGTTTCAAGTCGCTAAAGGTTACCGTTGATTTTTTAGAATATTTTTTGTCTCATTTGCTTCCATATAACGACTAAACACAATTTATTTTTATATGGCAGAAACCCGCAACATCCTCGGCGAAAAAAATTCTAAAAAATCGACGGTAATTTTTAGCCACTTGAACCTTGCACACTATTAGACTAAAATTGAATGGGCTATAAAACTGTGTATTCAAAAAAATTCTACCGCTTCTGAGAAAAAAGTTTGAAATTTGGGTGAAAATTTGTTGCACTTTTTTGCGGACTTTTAAAAAGTTTTAAACTTAAGTTTATGTGAGTTTTGTCAGAGAATGAACTGTATTTTAATTGAAAATTCTTAAAAATAAATAAATAAACATGAGTGGCAAACAATATGACTTTGAAATGGGGGTGCTATTGTATTGGCCAATACTGTATTGTATTGGCGCGTTGAGAAATTTCTCAAGAAAATGTTTAAACGCTTGTATGTATGTATGTATTGTCACCCACTTCACCGATTTGAAATCCGACAATTTTTGGATAACCTATGGAGCTTGCACTTATTTATATATAACTCGATTATGTATGTAGCTACTCCACAGATCGCCCTAACTAAGTCGTTTGGCCTCACCGACCAATTCCGCAAAAAAGCGCAACAAACTTTCCCTTAAATTTCAAACTTTTTTCTCAGAAGCTCTAAAATTTTACACACCGCTTTTATCAACTTGCAATGTTGTGTTCCAGAAACTTTCAATGTTGTGGATCCCGAAACTTTCAATGTAGTGTTCCGACACCAAAGCAAAGCTTTGAAAAGCTCCTTTAAAAAAGCATAGTGAATAGGGCGAGGTAGATGACATCTAGATGTCGCCCTTGTACACTACGTTTGCTAGACCGGAAATAGACGGCACGCCATTCTTTAAATAAAATTAATTGGTGCTCGTTTGTATGTACATACATATGTAAATGCATGTGTGTGCACCATTCTATTAATATCGTTGAATTATTTTAATATCTATTGCAAAATTTTATTCAGACAGGACTAAAAAGTAGAAAATATATAATATAAAAAAAAACTTTTTAATATACAACGCTTTTATAAATGGACTAAAAAGTAGAAAATAATACTTCTCAGTCCCATAGAATTTGTTT